GACCAGTGGAGCGCTCATTTCAGGCACAAAATTTAGGGGAAGGGTAACACAAAAAACTGAAGAATCAAGGTAGATTGTGTTTTAATGCAATATTAAAAAAGCTAAAATGAACACAAAAATTCATCATGAACAAAATACCGAAATTTTAAGTACAAACAGGAGCCTTCTTAGAACTGGAGGCAAATTATATCCTAAGCTAATTAATGCAAGAACAGAAAACCAAATACCACATATTCTCATTTACAGGTGGAAGCTAAGCATTGGGTACTCATGGACATAAAGACGGGAATACTAGACACTGGGGGCTACTGTGGGAGAGGAGAGAGAGAGGAAGGGCTGAAAATCTACCTACTGGAAGATGGGTGCTGGGCTCATGCCTGTAATCTGAGCACTTTGGGAGGCTGAGGCAGGCTGATTGCTTGAGCCCAGGAGTTTGAGACCAGTCTGGGCAATGTAGCAAGATCTTGCCTCTACTTAAAAAAAAAAAAAATCGACTGGGTATGGTTGTGCACACCTGTTGTCTCAGTTACTTGGGAGGCTGAGGTGGAAGGATGGCTTGAAACTGGAAGGTCAAGGGTGCAGGGGACTGGGATGACACCACTACACTTCACCCTGGACAACAGGGCAAGATCCTGTCTTGAAAAAAGATCCCCAAAACCTACCTGTTGGGTACTATGCTCACTACCTGAGGGGTGGGATTGTTCATACCCTAAACCTTAGCATTAGGGAATATACTCAACTCAGAAACCTGTATACCTACACCTGAATCTAAAATAAAAGTTGAAATTATGTTTCAAAAACAAAGAACTGGAGGCAAAAGGTAAAATGTTTATCCTTCTTGTTATATGCTTGCATGTATTTTTTAATGGTTATTTTTTTCCCCAGAACATTAAAGAAATTGAAAACAATACTGAAAAACTGAAAAGTAGGTATATTAAAACTCACATTCAGTTTAATATTTTTAACCCCAAATAGGGTCTATTATGTCACTCTTTTTGGCATTAAGGGGAGCAAAATCATCCATAACATTTTTATTTCTTCATTTATTTGTTTATTTTTACTGTATATAATGAAGGTGTACAACATAATGGTTTGAAAAAGCTTAATTCTTAAAAAATATTTAACTGTGAAAAGCATCATAAACTTCTATTCTTGTAGGGATGCACCATTCTTCCTTTGCTTCAGGTGCTAAGATGGATCTGTACAGCACTGTAACTGATCCTGTTTTTATTTAAAATTCTGATCTTTGTTCATAATGAATTTGTTGGTATTCATTTTTATTTTATTTTATTTTATTTTTTGAAATGAGGTCTTGCTCTGTTGCTGAGGCAGGAGTATGGTGGCGCGATCTTGACTCTCTGCAACCTCCACTTCCTGGGCTCAAGCGGTTCTGTCTCAGTAGCTGAGACTACGGGTGCCCACCACCATACCCAGCTAATTTTTGTGTTTTGGGTAGAGACGGGATTTTTCCATGTTAGTTAGTCTAGTCTTGAAATCCTGACCTCAAGTGATCTGCCCTCCTTGGCCTCCCAAAGAGCTGGGATTACAGGTGTGAGCCACTGCACCCAGCCCTCATTTTGATTAAAAAAAATTATGTGAAAATATGATTTATACTGATTATTAAGTTTTTATTTTTCCTGCATCTTGTGAAATTCTGTACTTGGGGCGAGTGCCTTGCCCTTCTCTCCTGATCCCAGCTGTAAAGCATTTTTCATGTTCTTTCATCCTATCTTTCCACGCACACAGAAGTAGCCATTGTTTGTTATTTATTTGTCTGTTTTGAGACAGGGTCTCGTTCTGTCTCTCAGGCTGGAGTGCAGTGGTATGATCACAGCTCATTGCAGCCTGGATCTCCTGGGTTCAAGGGGTCCTACCGCCTCAGCCTCTCAAGTAGCCAAAACTACAGGCACGTGCCACCACATCTGGCTAACTTCTTAATTTTTTGGAGAGATGGAGTCCTGCTATGTTGCCCAGGTTGGTCTTGAACTCCTGGCCTCAAGCAATCCTCTTGCTTCAGTCTCCCAAGGTGGTAGGATGACAGGCGTGAGCCACTGTGCCCAACTGGTAGCTGTTGTGATTATGCCTGTTTTGTGGGTGAGGAAATAGTGCTGACAGAGCCTTCTGTTCCCCACTCCATGCCTGAGCTTCACAGCTTCCTGATACACCAAAGACATTGTATTGTAGGACCCTGGGACTCTGCTCCATGGAATGCACTGTCCACAGACAGTTGAGGGACAAGCTTGGGGCACGTTAATGCTCCAGGAGAATCCCTCAACCAGTGATAGATCAGAGTCAGATGATCAGTACCCCAGCTTCTTTGCCAGGCAGGGGATACTGGCATGTGCCCCATGCCGTCTTTCAGGGGACCCTGACAAGTCTCCACTTGCCCCCTGCAGGAACCTGCTCACTGACATGACCAACTATGGCCTCCCTGCCTCCCTTGTGTTCTTCCCATACTCCCTACTAGAGCTTCCTGGCGTCACCTCCCAAATCAACTGCTTGCCCTCAAAACCTATCTCGGGGTCTGTTTCTAGGGAAGCCAACCTTAAATGCTGAAGCACAGAGATATTGGTTAAGTAACTCACAAAGTTTACAAATTTATGATGTGGGAGAGCAGGAATTCAACCCCAGGGAGTCAGCCGCTAGGGTCCATGATCTTACCCACTCTCCACCAGAACCTTTGCAAACTACAGCCAGAGGGCCAAGTTTGGTTTGCTGCCTGTTTCTGCCTGGCCGTGAATTAGAAATAGTTTGTATAGTTTCAAGTGGTCAAAAAAAAAAAAAAAAAATCAAAAGAAGAATTATATGCATGTGAAAATTATATGAAATTAAAATGTCGGCATCCCTAAATAAAGTTTAATGAGAACAGAACCAGGCCCGTTTGTTTACCTACTGTCAGTGGCTGTCTTTGTGCTGTTGCTGCAGAATTGGAGTAGCTGAGACAGAGATCAAACGGCCTGCAAAGCCAAAAATATTTCCTATCGGGCCTTTTGCAGAAACAGTTTGCTCAGCCCCGCTCCCCTGCTTTTCTCTCCCAGCTTTGTAACAGATCAGTGATTTCTTTACTAACCTCTCTGAGTCTCAGATTCTGCAGATGTAAAATGGGGATAAATGCTCCTGTACAGTACTTGTGAAGAGTGAATATATGAGGTAATATTTTCAAAGTTCCTAGCACAGAGTTCACCTCTTGTAAATATAATAGCCATTTCTACCAAAATAAATTTTGTGAAAATATTGTTATCTTAGTTGTTCCTGAGCCTATAAAATCCCTTATTGAGTAACCTGCACATTTTTCCGGTGGGTTGGCCTGGGAGAGCGTTTGCATTCTATAGGTAATGGGTGGGCCTAATTGCCTGTTAGTTGTAGATTTCTTTAAAGTTGGGCAGGACATGGAAAAGCAGAGAAAACAAATGAATAAAAACAAAGCAGCATGAAAAATGTCAGGGGTAGTATGTGAGAAACTGGAATCAATATTCAAAACGCAAGCATGTCTCAATTTTTCTTTGTTACTGTGTCACTGTTTTGAAAAGTCTAAATTATGCTTGCAAAAACTTAACGTATGCATACATATGCATGAATGTATATGACTTAGCGGGGCTGAGACAGACAATAGTAGGTTTTGCTTGGAATAGAGGCAGAACTATGTAGTAAAACTCATTTCTGTACAGTTGAGTGGTGGGTCATTCTGGCACTGCAGACCCTTCTCAGGGATGTGTAAACAGACCAGTGAGAAACTTCAAGGGTGCATCTCCATTTTTCTCCAACCCATCTGCAGTTTCCCCCGCTTCTGCAGTTAAGTCTGCCTTTATTTGTCTCCTGACTTACAGCTTCCAAACCTGGTTTTCTTTCCTCCAGTGCTTCTCAGTGGAAGCCAGTTTTTCTCCCCAGGATATATTTTTTGTTCCATAATCAAGAGTATGCAAGTGGCATCCATCCATGAGTACAGATCAGGAATGCTGATGAAATCCTACAATGCACTGGATGGTCCTCCCGCTCAGGGAAGAATTATTCTGCCCAACATATCAATAGTGTTGTATTTGAGAATCTGTGCCAGTCTTTCCCTCTGATGGGTTCTCAATTCAGCAGCCAGTGTGATTTTTCTTTTCTTTTTTTTTGAGATGGGTCTCCCTCTGTCGCCAGACTGGAGTGCAGTGGTGAGACCTTGGCCCACTGCAACCTCTGCTTCCTGGGTTCAAGCAATTCTCCTGCTTCAGCCTCCCAAGTAGCTTGGATTACAGGTGCCTGCCATCATGCCTGGCTAATTTTTTGTATTTTATTTTGTATTTTATGGGGTATCACCATGTTGGCCAGGATGGTCTCGATCTCCCGACCTCGTGATCCACCCGCCTCGGCCTCCCAAAGTGCTGGGATTACAGGTGTGAGCCAGTGCTTTTATTTTCTAAAATGTAAATCTTTGGTTTTCTAAAGTGCACTTCTTTGCATAAGACCCTGTATTGCATTCTCTTTGCCTGCAGGGTAAAATCTGAATCTGAATCCTTATACACGATCAAAAAGCTTGTATTGCCTATTTCTTGCTTATTGTCCCCCTCATCTGTCTCCTCTTCCCACTCATACTTTATAAATTTGTCGAGGTGTTGCCCACCTATAGTACTTTGCATAAACTATTTTCAGACGGTGAGTCCGCAACCCTCTCCACCCTTTTCTGGTCAACTTTTATGTATGAGTGACATCAAATATCAGCTCACAGGTTACCCTCCCCTTGATGGCAGCTACCATAGAACTTAATAATCTCTTTTGATGTTATTGCTTGCTCAATTACTTACGTTCCTGTTTGGAAGCTTCCCTCTCAGAGGGCAGGGATTGCATCTGTCTTTCTCACTACCACATGTACAGCAAAAGGCACACAGTAGGTTCTCAGTTAATATTTGTTGATGAATGGAGTGCTTATGCTAGTTTATATGGAACAGTTTATTTAGAATGTTAATACATTTACAAACATAAATATTTTAATTATTTTATTATTATTTTTTTGAGACCAAGTCTTGCTCTGTCACCCAGGCTGGAGTGCTGTGGGGTAATCTCGGCTCACTGCAACCTCTGACACCCGGGTTCAAGCGATTCTCCTGCCTCAGTCTCCAGAGTACCTCGGATTGCAGGCGCCTGCCACCACACCAAGCTAATGTTTGTATTTTTAGTAGAGACGAGGTTTCACCATGTTGGCCAGGCTGGTTTTGAACTTCTGACCGAAAATGATCCTCTCACCTCAGCCTTCCAAAGAGCTGGGATTACAGGTGTGAGCCACCATGCCTGACCTGCAAATGTAAACAGATGTGGCAATTCATATTTCTGGGTTATGATAATACTGATTTGCTGTGTAATTATATCAGCTGAAAAATGAGGAAAAGAAGTAGAAATCCAAAATCATAGAATTTGAGCAATAGAAATTAATAAGCTGTTTTAGATCCATTGGAGAGGAGGAAGAAGTATTAGTTAATTTAATAATAATAAGATTAAAAAAATATTAATGTAAAAGATTACTAGAAAATGTACAATGCTGTTGTCAAGAAGTGTGGAGGGTCTTAGATTTTTATTTTGGTTGCAATCTAACAAGTTATCCCACTACATTTTTTTTAAAAGATGGAATCTAGCTCTCTCTCCCAGGCTGGTGTGCAGTGGCGTGATCTTGGCTCACTGTAACCTCTGCCTCCTGGGTTCAAGCAATTCTCCTGCCTCAACCCCTCCCCCTCTTCCCAAGTAACTGGGACTACAGGGTCCCGCTACCATGCCTGGCTAATTTTTTTTTTTTTGTATTTTTAGTAGAGATGAGGTTTCATCATATTGGTTAGCCTGGTCTCGAGCTCCTGGCCTCAAGTGATCTGCTTACTTCTGCCTCCCAAAGTGCTGGGATTATAGGCATGAGCCATCACACCTGGCTCCATCCCACTACAACTTTTTAGATGCCGGCAGCCGACATGAGACTTGTGGCTCAGAAGCAAAAGACTTTATTACTCACTGTACAACATGCAGCATCTATCCATTGCTGATGTGAGACTTGAGGGCACAAGAGGAATAGAAATAAACATGATGTTCATGTGGCATGCTGTGTGGTGAGCAATAAAGTCTTTTGTATACTCATTTACATGCAAAATAGATGGGATGAAGAAAAAATGTAGAAAAATGCTTTGATATTTCTGCCTTATATCATTCTTATAAATGCATGGAATGTGCTGGCAAACATTTGAAAATACATTTCTCTGAAAATGGCACCAACCACCTAACCATCTAGCCCTAACCAACCAAAATGATCCTCACCGGTCACTTTGATTTCAAAGGCCAAAGTGATTTCATCTTTCAAATATTTCTGGATTTCATCCACTGGTCTTTACCTCCATTGATACCGTTCTACCATCTTACTTCAAGCTGCCACCCTCTCTTTAGGTGATTTTTAGCAATGGATTCCTGTGTGGTTCCCTTCTTTCCTCCAGTCATTGCTTAGCTAGTTTCTTGAAGCCCAGTTTTCTTATCTATCTATGAAATAGAAATAGTAACGTTCCTAGCCCATAGGATTTTTGTGGAAATTACACAGAATGATGTAAATCAGCCTGACAAGTGCTGGGATTCATTCAATTAATGTTAGCTCTTATGATTGATTACTTATATATGCACAAGCCCTGAATTTGTATCTCCTATGTTTGATTTTTTACAACCAACATATACTTTGAGGCAAAATCTTCAAAGTGAAATTACCCCTTATGGATGGAATCAAGTTAAGCCAAAGCCTTTCTAGTGGAAAGCTGCTGTGTAAGAAGGGGAGTTTAAATTTGGGAAAAAGGATAAATTAGATCAGTTGATGCTTACCCTTTGAGGAAATATTATCTGAATTATTTTTCTACTGCCAGCCAACCCCATTTCACAGGGCATGTATATTTGCTCAGCAAATCAGAATTTTTCTTTTTTAAAGATCCGAAAGCTCTTCTCTATTCTATGATTAATTGAATTATGTTTGGATCAATACAGGAAGAATCAAATTACTACATCACTATATGTGTGAGAGAGAAAATATGTGATTAAAGATATTTATTATACTGATGTGGCCAACAATAATATGTTAAACAGATAAGCATGTAATAATGCATATTTTCCCCATAAAATTTAATTTATCTCTTGGGCTGGACATAGACTTTCCTCTTGAACAACTTGCTTTCCGACTATAGATTGCTGAGCTAAACGGCTTAGTTTTACAGCGAATTGATCACTACTGTAATATTTCAGAAGCAAAATGATCCTCACCAGTCACTTTGATTTCAAAGGCCAAAATTTATAGTTTTGTTCCTGATTTAGTGATAACATTTTTTAACATATTGAGCATTTTATCACCTTCTATCAGGACATGGAGTTGAACTCACAAATGAAAAAAAAAAAAAAACAACAAAAAAGGGACCATAAATAATATACTATAGAATGACAGAAGAGTTTAATATTCCCTTTGGACCAGTGGGAAATTACTCAGTTTTCTTTCCTTGTAAACATATGTCCTGATTTCTATGGAAGACGTGTTATGCAATCTCTATGCTCCTGGAAAGGGAGTCACAGATAATGCTGGAGCTGGAAACCACAAGGATTTTGTGAAAGCATAAAGCAAACTTTATTATATGTGTGCTCCCCAGTGTCTCAACTCGACTTTATTCAAGGCAGATAAAATGTAGTTATTGGACACTTCTGATATGTTGAAAATAGGTGCAGACAGTTAATGATGGGAAAGTTCATGACTCAGTAAAGATTACTCCCTAGCTGGTAGCTTAGGACAGAAAACTATAAAATCAAATTATGATAATCATAGGAGTCAGGAGAAAAAAGTAGGCCCATGGAGCTCTATTTACTGAATTTTTGAATTCATTATATACCACCTACTGTGGAAGTACAGGAAACAGATTTTTGATCATCTCAGTAGATTTGCAAAGTAAAACTATTTTGTGATTACCAAAGTGAATTTTTTAAAAACTTAAAATTGTAAGAGAGAGAGAGAGAACTGGGGCTAGAGGGAACGTGCAATAATAGAGAATAAAAACAATTGACATGCCTCACAATACAGTCACACACATCCAGAATTTACCTTTTGAGAAGTTGGTTGGACATTAAATCAGTGAAAACAGATGTGGCTGTCTCAGTTTTTACCATTAAAAATATATATTTTTTCAAACAACATTTCCATCACATAGCAGTGTTTACTTGTCCTGACATAAGAGTTAAACCATTGATTTGGGGCTTAAATAGGGTTTTGAGCTGCAGTGGTCTATTTTATCACATGTAACTTAGGTGTTGACTCAGCAAGGACAAATATGCTTCTACTAGATATCAAATCTAGACAGCTAGGGCCTGCAAGATTTTAATTTTTTAACCTTCACTTAGATCTGTGTTTTAGGGAGAAAGTCGACCTTTTCTACCTGATATTAAGAATATCTATCTGGACAGTGTCCTTGAGTGACAAATCTCATTGATAATTTTCTATGGAATGTTAGCCCTTGCCATGTCAAATTATACAGCTGCTGGTGTTTGATATGATGCCTTCTTTTTTGTATGCTTCCTAGCATTTATAGATTCTTATGATGTGCTTACTTTGTATTTAAAAACTTTAATACAGTTCTGTAACATTTAGCTATTGGTGCATGCAATAATAGCTACAAAATCTCAGTGACATACAACATAGGCATTTTTTGATTTTGCTCAGGGGTGATCATCTAAGCGACCCTGCTGAGCTTGTCTAGATTGCTCACATATCTGGGGGTCAGCAGGCTGTCAGCAGGGGCTGCTGGGTGATGGGGCGACTTGGCTCAGATCCACTTGGCTTGTTGTCCTTTGGCAGGCCAGTCTGGACATGGTCTCAGGACAGTGGCAGAAGGCCAAGCAGGATGCTTCTTGGAAGCCTAGGCTCAGAACCGTCACACACTCACTTCCATTATACTCTGTTGGCCAAATAAGACACAAGGTGATATAAGCAGCTTTGTCTCTTTTTTTCGAGACAGAGTCTTGCTCTGTCACCCATGCTAGAATGCAGTGGGACCATCATAACTCACTGTAGCCTTGAACTTTTGGGCTCAAACAATCCTCTCACCTCAGCTTTCCAAATAGCTGAGACTACAGATGCATGCCATCATGCCCGGCTAATTAAAAAAATTTTTTTTTGTGGAAACGGGGTCTTGCTATGTTGCTTAGGCTGGTCTCAAACTTCTGGCCTTAAGTGGTATTTCCATCTTGGCTTCTGGGCCAAGTGCTGGGATTCTAGGCCAAGTGCTGAGATTACAGGCATCAGCCATTGTGCCTGGCTGAGGTTCTACCACTTCAGTGAGTGAAACTGCAAAGAGACATGCCGAGGAGTGCAGATACAGTGATGGAGAAGAATTAGCGCCCTTAATTGAATCTGCCATATAGCTCATTCATCCAAATAATGCTATGAGATAGCTATTCTCATTACCCCCAGGTTTTTTTTTTCAGGGAATTATTGCAGAGGATGCTAAATAACAAGAAGTCACCCAATTAGTAAGTGGTGGAGCCAGGAATCAAGAGTCTTTACCATTCTCTAAAGAACCACTGTGCTAAGAAATTTGATTATAACAAACACAAAAACAGTAGATCATTTACTTACACAAAAGTGAGTACAAACTAGTCTGTAAACTCAGTTGTACAATCGGATTTGATTTTCTGTATCTCGACTTAATTGTTGACTTAGAGCTTCCATTGCTCTGGGTTGACAGAAAACTTCAACTCAATTCTTTCTGGAGCTTCCTTCATTGGATGGACTTTTATCAGTGCATCTGAGCTGCCTTCCCATGTCTGAGGAAACCTCACCTTTGTAAGGCTGAGCTTGCCTCTCACATCTGAAGTGGAAAACCCCAGGTATGTGCTTTCCTGATCTCCCTGGAAGTTCCAGATGGCCGTTAAAACCTTGGGACAGGAGAATGCAGGGATTGAACAGAATGCTTTCTGGTGATGGTTAGCAGCAATGGTGGTGGCAGGGGCAGAAGTCATTGTGACATCAGTGACCAGTGCTCAGACATCACTACATACAGTGTAAACTCCTGCATCTGTACCCAGCTCTGTTCATGGGGCTTTGTCATGGCACCATGATTACACTTTGATTTTGTGCAATATTCTGACTGCCAAGCCTCCATATCTGGCTCCTTGGAGCTGCTGGGAGCTTTGTGAGTGACAAGGAATCATTTGATACGTGCTCTTCCGGCTGGAGTTATTCAGAATTAGCTTCCTTTGTTGGTAACCATAAGCCCCACCCTTTCCTGGGTTGTTTCATGTTTTGGGGGGATTGCATTATGCCCAGGCAAAAGAGGTGGCTCCCTTGGTCTGTTGGCTTTGGCCACATAGATTCCTGCAGGAATGTTCATTGCCCCATTTGCCCTACAAGCACAGCAGCTTTCTGCTACCTCTCTGCCATGTCTGGGGTGAAGGGAGTTGGGGGAAGTTTTTTACTCCCCACCTGCCTCGACTTGCTCTATGGTCATTCCTTTTCTGGTGCTTCTTGTCTTTCTAGAGTCTGCAGGAGGGAATTGACGTCCAGGTCTCCTAGCTCACCTACCTTTCGGTACCCATAGACCTCCTTCTTTCTCTCTTTTGCTTAAAGCCTTCTTCTCCAGCCTGGGCGGATTCTCCTTGAATTCTAGTGTGATATGGTTTGACTCTGTGTTTCCACCCAAAACTCATCTTGAATTATAATCCCCATGTGTCAAGGGAAGAACCGGGTGGGAGGTGATTGGATTATGGGGATGGTTCTCCTGTGCTGTTCTCATGTTAGTGAGTGAGTCTCATGAGATATGATGGTTTTAAAAGTGGGAGTTTTTCCTCTGCTCTCACTTCACTTCTTGCCTGCCACAATGTAAGACGTGCCTGCTTTCCCTTCTGCCATGATTGTAAGTTTCCTGTGGCCTCCCCAGCCATGCAGAACTGTGAGTCAATGAAACCTCTTTCTTTTATAAATTACCCAGTCTTGGGTATTTCTTTATAGTAGGGTGAAATAAGACTAATACATAGAAAAATCCCTTTTTCTACATATTTCGTTCAGTATGCTTTGGATTTGTTTGCAAACTGCCTCTGTCTCATTCTTTTTTTTCTTTTTCAGAAGCACATTTATAAATCACAGGATTTCATAAAAAATTAGCCAGAAGAAAAGACGGGGAGACAGTTTGTGTTCTGCCTTGGGTTACCAGATGCAGATCTGACCACTTAATTAAAAGTGAGGAGGAGATGGGGAAAATGCCAGGAGGAAATGCCCATTTCCCATAGGGTAGTATGTTAATCCTAAGGTACTTCCCTGGCGAAATGGATTCCAAACTGCTTGGAATAGCTTCAGTCTATTATTTTGACCTCACCTTTCACCATGTATACCTCTTCCTCCCCTTACAGCCTAGTTTCCAGGCTGAATCAAACCAGCCAAGGGGTCCTGAATATCTCCTTGTTTCCACATCTTTCAGCACATATAGTTATTTTCTCTGCCTAAAGTATCTTTTCCCCAACTCTATTTCCTATGGACAAAATCCTAAAGAAGAGATAGAGGAAACTCCCAGTGGCAGGTCTGGATACTATTTGGGTAAACATTTTAACAAATGGTTTGGCCATTCAGGGGAATTTATATATACAAGACTCCTATTTTCTGGAGGTTTATATTTTGGTATGCTAACCAGCTCAAAACGTGAGTTTCTGAGACTCTAGGGGTAGGCAAATTCATTTGTTCACTGATTTAATACATAGGAATGGGTACCAGAGAGAAATTTTCAAGTCCCTAGAAATAAACAGAATGATAATTTTAATGTTATTTTAAAAATAAGTGTGCTAGCAATTGCCTATGGGATTTTTTCTCTTCTTCTTACTCTTTTATCTTTAAATGGTAATTTTCCAGCATTTTTTCATTCTTTCAGGGACATTTACTGAGAATTTAACATATGTGAGATGTTATGTTAAGTAGCAGTTTTCTGTATAGAATAGACCATTAAACAAGTAGAAATAATGGGGTGTAAACATAAAGCAATTTCATTTTGTCTTCCGCTATCACTTAAAACTTTATTAAACTGGGAAGGTTTGTTTCCTGCCCCTGGATGACTTTTTGATGACTCATTTTAATAGAAATTTCTGCAGTCACTTTAAGCTACTAAACGCAGTTTTAGTTCAGAAATTAGAATGTTTTGCACCAGATAATAAGCCAACCTCTGAACTTGACTTAAAATTAAATCCTCTCCTTCCCATAGATGTGCTCTCCAGGGAAGCCTACATCCAGTAAATAGTCACCTTCTTTCTTTCCTCACTCCAAGTCTACAAGCTTGCTAAAAGGGGTTTCTGACCTCTCCGTGTTCAGAGAAAGAGGATGGAAGAGAGGCTGGGAAGCCAGGTCTCCACTTTACGGCTACTCTTGTGGAATGACTATACAGTCTCTGGACCTGGGGGATGTTTAGGCTGACTTTTCTCTCCTCTGGGCATTGTCATGGGTCCTTTGGAGATTCCCCTCTTATTGGAAACCTCACAGAAGGAAACTTTCTATTTTTCTTCTATTATGTTTTGCTCAAAGGCCAAAAATTTCTCTTGGCATCTCTTTTCCGACTTGAGACACCCAAGTCCTCCATGCTGTGTTCAGAGAGTTTACAGACATCTAGGATGGATTGCAATATATACACAGGGACATGTTGGTACAAGGTCTCTTTCATTCTGCTCTGTGGTTCTGCAGACAAAAGCCTATTGGTAATTAATTCTCTCTGGCAGTTCTCCAGTTCCTCCTCAGTTTGAGTTACTTGTCTGTTGCCTCCTCCCACTTTCCTAGAGTTGAATCTGACTCTTATTATTTGGGAGCCAAAAACTCTGTCTATAAACCTGCCTGCAAATTTTTGGTCTTATGGTCCTGTGGCTTCTTTGAGACTTTGGTTCGGTTTGGGAGAAAACGTTCCTTGGAATGCAGTAAGAGAACTGCAGGTGAGTGAGCTAAACCGAAATGATGCAGAATAATATTTCAAGATCAATTCTTGCCACAGACCTTGAATAAAGGGCCATGGAAGGTTTTCCCAAGAGGGATTATTTTAGGTGGTACTGAAGCGTTAGTCTGTCTCTGAGGAAAAGTAAAGAAAAGGATGTTCTTGACAGAAGAAATAGGGTACTGAAAAGAAAGTGTTTGCAGGTTTCCAGTGGCTGCAGTTTTAGCAGGCATGGTTGGGAGGGTCTGTAATGGAGAAGGGCTTGGCCTTTATCCAGAATCCATGGGGAGCCTTTGGAAGGTTTTAGATGGAGAAGCGATATATTCTAGGAAGGTGTAGCATGGTGGCGTGTGCCTGTAATCTCAGCTACTTGGGAAGCTGAGGCACAAGAATCATTTGAACCCAGGAGGTGGAGGTTGCAGTGAGCAAGATTGTGCCACTGCACTCCAGCCTGGATGATGGAGCAAGACCCTGTCTCAATAAACAAAAGCAAAAACAACCCCCCCCCAAAAAAACAAACCTACACCTGGGGGGAAAACTAACAAAAGATGTGTAAGATATCCACAGAGAAAAATTACAAAGCATTAGTAAAGGAAATAAAACAAGCTCTTTAAAAATATAGAGCTCTGCCCATTCCAACATTTGTGTTATAAGTTGGTCTGATTTTCCTGTCTACTCTTTCTCTCTTGATTACCTTTGTGCTAGATATGAGAAGGAAAAGAAAGAGTTAAATAACGCCAATTTAAATGTCCCCACCCCCCTTCCCTCCAAGCCAGTAGCTAGAAAAGTTGAAAAAAGAAAATCAAAACCAGACCATTTGGGCTAAAGAAATAATTGGTAGGAAAGAAAGTTGCCAAAAAGCATATGTATGTGCTTTTTGTTTGTGTGTGTGTGTGTGTGTGTATATATATATATATATATATATATATATATATATATGCACATATTTATTTGTAATAAGCGGCTGGATGAATGGATGAGTAGTACATATGGTGGTCTTAGTATATGCATGGAAAAATTGGAAGAATATACAACAAATTGTTAATATTGATGTTTGGTGTGTTTTAAAGTATCATATCAGCAATATTTACTATTTTTAAAAACAACAAGCATGTATTACTTTTGGAATTAGAAAAATCCCAATAAATATATGCACCTATAAAGATGTCACACTTAATGTAACATCCGAAGTCCTTATCAGCACTCCCAGAGCCCTGCCCTGTGTGACCCAGCCCCTCTACCTGCCTGACCTTGTTTCCTGCATGCTCCCTCTTGTTCACGGTGGTCTCTTTGCTCCTCCTTGATCACACCAAGCACGTTTCCACTTCATACTCTGCACATTTGTTCTCTCTGCCAGGTGTACTGTTCGATCACACTGAGCATGTTTCCACTTCACACTCTGCGCATTTGTTCTCTCTGCCAGGTGTACTGCCGTGCATGGGTCCTTTTTCCATTTCAGTTAGGCCTTGCTCAAATGTTACAGTTTCAGAAACAGCTTCTGAAAATCCCCATCTCCTGAATCTGTTTTGTTTTTCTCCATAGCACTTACCCACTACATTATGTGATGTCTGCCTATTTATTATCTATCAGTCTATCCATCCATCCATCCATCCATCCATCCATCCATCCATCCATCCGTCTATTGATCATCTGTCTATCCACTGATGTCACCTCTTGAAGACTTTGCCTAGGATAGTCTCTGATATACAATGGAACCTCCGTAAACCTGTATTGAATATATATTATTTGCTTTTCAATAGTGAACACCTGTTTTTACTTTTATTTAGTGAAGATCGAGTTGTAGAAAATATTTGAAAACATGCAGCCCCAACTTATTGCAGTTTAAAGGTTTTCAGTTACTTAAAAAAAATACCTTTCCTCATATAGGGTAGAGTTTTTCTGCCTCAGAACTACTTACACTTTGGGATGGATAATTCTTTGGTTTGAAGGCTGTTCCGGACATCGTAGGGAGTTTAACAACCAATTCCATGCTGCTAACATCCTCCCCCACCC